TCATGCCTATCTTTGCATGAAACGTTCCCTTCATATCTCCAATTTTCTTGAGGAGATCTCTGGTTCTCCCTATTCTATTGTTTGCTTCTATTTCTTTGCACTGTTCATTTAAGAAGGCATTCTTATCTCTTCTAGCTGTTCTCTGGAATTCTGCATTCAATTGTTTGTATCTTTTTCTTTCTCCCTTGCCTTTCGCTTCCCTTCTTTCCTCAGCTATTTGTAAAGCTTCCTCAGACAGCCATTTTGCTTTCTTGCATTTCTTTTTCTTTGGGATGGTTTTAGTTGCTGCCTCTTGTACAATGTGGCAAACCTCTGTCCATAGTTCTTCAGGCACTCTGTCTATCAGATCTAATTCCTTAAATCTATTTGTCAATCAGGGATATGATTTAGGTCATACCTGAGTGGCCAAGTGCTTTTCCCTACTTTCTTCAATTTAAGCCTAAATTTTGCAACAAGAAGCTAATGATCTGAGCCACAGTCAGCTCCTGGTCTAGTTTTTACTGACTGTATAGAGCTTCTCCATCTTTGACTGCAGAGCACATAGTCAATCTTATTTCTGTGTTGACCATCTGATGATGTCCATGTGTAGAGTCGTCTCTTTGGTTGTCGGAAAAGAGGTTTGCTATGACCATCGTATTTTCTTGACAAAATTCTACCAGCCTGTGCCCTGCTTCATTTTGTATTGCAAAGCCAAACTTGCCTGTTATTCCAGTTATCTTTTGGCTTCCTACTTTAGCATTCCAATCCCCCATGATGATAAGGACATCATTTTTTTGTGTTAATTCCAGAAGGTGTTGTTGGACTTCATAGAACCGGTCAACTTCAGCCTTTTCAGCACCAGTGGTTGGGGCATAGACTTGGACTACTGTGATGTTGAATGGTTTGCCTTGGATTCGAACTGAGCTCATTCTGTCATTTTGGAGATTGTATCCCAGGACTGCTTTTCCTACTCTTTTATTGACTATGAAGGCTACTCCATTTCTTCTGAGGGATTCTTGCCCACAGTAGTATACCTGATGGTCATCTGAATTAAATTCACCCATTCCTGTCCATTGTAGTTCACTGATTCCTAAGATGTCGATGTTCAGTCTTGTCATCTCTTGTTTGACCGTATCCAGTTTGACTTGATTCATGGATCTTCCAGGTTCCTATGGAGTATAGATCTTTGCAGCATCGGACTCTCCTTTCACCACCAGATACATCTGCAGCTGATTGTCCTTTCGGCTTTGACCCAGTCGCTTCATTCTTTCTGGTGCTACTAGTGCTAGCCCTCTGTTCTTTCCTGGTAGCATATTGGACACCTTCCGACCTGAGGGGCTCATCTTCTGGCATCGTATCTTTTTGCCTTTTGGTACTGTCCATGGGGTTTTCATGGCAAAGATACTGGAGTGGGTTGCCATTTCCTTCTCCAGTGGATCACGTTTTGTCAGAGCTCTCTGCTATGACCTGTCCATCTTGGGTGGCCCTGCATGGCATAGCTCATAGCTTCATTGAGCTACACAAGCCCCTTCGCCACGACAAGGCAGTGATCCATGAAGGATAACAGCTGTTTAGTGCTGATGATTTTTAGTGCTGACAACCCTCCATGTAGAAGCACCATTCAGTGCATTTGTATTGATTTAAACCAGAGGTGGAGAATCTCCTTGAGTCCAGGAATTCTACTCAATTTCAGTGAAGTTCTCAGATACGTTCCAGTGACGAGTGAGACCATAGCTAAAGAGTAGGGCCAAACATGCAAAGCACGGCACCATATTTTAACTTACGCTTCTTGATGCCAGGAACTAAGCCATCAGAGAGTCACTTTCAGAATGGGGATAATGGCACAAAAGCTGGGAAATCAAATAACTGGTGGCTGCAGGAGAGGGTAGGGACCAAGGAATAAGGGGAATAAGGGGAGCCTTGAAAAGCAGGATTGGGATCCCAGGAGGACCAGACTTGGACCTTGGATCTGAGGCCCCTCACCTATGGTTTAAACAATAGTTAAGGTTATCTTTATGTTAGGTACTGTTGGGACTGAACCACTCCTCAGAATTTCACCTAAACGATGACAGGCACATCTCTCAGAGAAGCCTCAGTGCGATACATCAGTAGTTTTTATTAGTGTTTGAAAGGAATATATGACATGCCAAGCACTGGTTGGAGCAAAAACTGAACATCTGTCAACTGGAAGCACTTTTAAATTTGCTTTATTTGGCAGTTTGCATCATGATTCAGTGTAAATTTTAAGTTCACCTACAAAGAAAAGTACATTCCCCTACAAAGAACTAAAGCATATATATATTCTGCTTTTAGGTAGCTGATGGCATCACCTCCAGAAACTTCACTCAGGGTACAAAATACATCTTGAAATTGCGTACAGGTGGAAACGATGACTGTGTCATTACAGGAAAGTTTGGTGAATGGAGTAAACAAATTGAGTTTGGTAAATGATTATGATTTCTGTCTGACCCCAGACATTCCCTCTAATAGTGGATTGAAGTGGTTGAATGTCTATCAGTTTGGAAGGGAAATTTGGGCGTCCAAAAAGAGAGTAGTTTCTACATATTCAGAGGACCAGTAAAGGAAAAAAGTTTTCTGTCTTCCTGAAATTCAGCATAGCCATCCCCTGAGATTTGACACGAACCATTATAACATCTAAGGCTATTCTCAAATGACCCTTAAATATTGCCCCTCCACAATTTGCAGGTCTGAATGTGGGTGCCATTATCTAATTTTCACCACTTGCACCACTTGCCCTTAGCAGAGGTGTCAAGACATCTAGCTCAAAGTTCATCCAAGTTCAGGGTTTTGATGGGTGCAGAGAACAATCACAAGATGGGAGACAGTTGTGCGGCCTGAGAAAAGGAGAGAAAACAAATAAGTTAGCCCATGGGGAAGTGCTGTACTATTTGAAAGTGTCTTCCCATGACATTTGCTGTTCCATTTTCAAACTGTATGGAACCTGCTGGGTGCTTAGTCAAGTCACAGTTTCACTTCCTACAGTGAAAAGAGGGAAAGGAAAGCAACATGTACAACAGTTGTTTTCATAGTAGTAAATACTGCTACACACACTAATTTAAGATAAATGATCCCATTGCCTCAGTGGGAGTTAAAAGTCCAACAGGGAACCTTCAAACAGGCCATATAATGTAATATAATATAATATAATAATATAATATAATATAATATAATATAATATAATATAATATAATATAATATAATAGAGAGAATGCTGTCACCTGAATTGGAAGCAGCAGCAAGATTGAGTGCTCTGTTCTTGGGGCCCAGCTGCCATTTTCTTAACTCCAAAGTAACTAAATCCAATACGTTTTCAGAGCAATTCTGTGTGTCTTTGTCAATGTAGCAGACTCCAATGTTTTGGACCCATGTTTTTTCCCTCCTCAAAAAGATTCTGACTGAATTCACAGAATCCACTAAAACACCTGAGTTTATCAAGCTATCATGGGTTATTTGGAGTGGTTTATAAACCATGCTGCTGGTCTTGTAAAGCACTCCAAGAAGCCATGGTTTCCAGTAGAGGGTACAGGCCACCCCTACGGAGTCTCCTGGCAAGAGTGCTAAAGCAGTTTGCTGCCCTGGCCGATGACAGCCAGCCTTAAATGCTACCAGTGGCTGCTGCCCATTTCCACTCCCCTGGTGCTCCTACAGTGTCACCTAGAATATCTGCAGGAGCACTGAGGGAGAGGAGATGCCTCAGGGTCTCTGCTGTGCCCCATTGTTTGTTGACTACAGCAGGGCTCCAGGGTAAGTTAGGCTTGGGGTGGCCTCTAAGCACCCAGTCTGGAGGAGGCAGAAAATTAAAATGAGCAAATGCAGAAGAAGCATCCCCCATTAAAGCAAAGGCTTCCTCCACAATTTTGTGGCACCCCTCAAAAGCCCAGCAAGCTCAGCCCCTATTGGAGGACCTGACGTTTCTCCCTTCCACCATTCAGACTGGTTGACCTATGCATTTGGGTGATCCATCTCCCATTCCCAGAGCACCTCCTAGGGAGTGGGAACAGCATTGCTTGTCCATCCCACTTGCTTGTTTTATAAGCTATTCCTGGCTTTGCCCTTCTGGGAAGAAACAACATGTCTCCAGACACTGGCAAATATACGGAGACATACTTTGAATAGTAACAAAAGTTCTGCGATGGTGAGATTTTACCATTATTTCTGCAGTTCGCAGGGGCTAATTACAGTCTTTCAAAGTATGAGTGCAGCTGCAGGAATAAATAAGAGTAAAGGATTAAGAGCCTCACAACTTCTGCCTTCAGCAAAATGTTGAACAGAGCTGAAGTGCTGAAGATGACTTTCCCAAACAAGGGTAGACTGAGAGACCTTCTTTAGAAACTCTGAAGTTACGGAACTCATGCTTTGCAAGCTTCCTGCTGATTTAGCCAGCAGGAAGGGATACATTCATGATCATTTGAATGGCCCAGACAGCTGCACCATGTTAGGTTTGGAGGGGCCCACTGAAGTATCCCCCAGACAACTTACAACAGGAAGAAGAAGCTGCAGGGAAAGGCCACCATGGGCATGTAACCAAGTGCTTTTTTCAGTGCTGGACCTTTAAAGGGAAAAAAATCATGCCAAGGTTCTTGAGTGCTGCTTCCAACAAGCTTATTAGCAGGGGCACCAGACTGGCACATAGGAAGAGGAGTTGGTTACATGTCAGCCACAACTTCTTTTCCTTGTAAAAGCCTGGCCCTGAGCGGAGGAGCATGAGGCCAGGAGGCTGCAGGACCTTCCATCGTCTTTCTTCCAAATGCGTCCAGACCCCCAGTGTAGCATCTCAGAAGCACACTGCATTGTGGGAGCAATGCATAGGCACTTAGAAGTTGAATTATGGCTGGCATGCAGCCCAAGGCTTCTCCCTCACCAATCCACTTTAAACAAAAGAAAATGAAAAAAATGATGCCAGCATCAGGGCCATTCTGTGTGTCGTATATTTGCTTTTTAAATGCCCTGTACCAATGCCTGCCTCTCTTTTTCAGGTACCAGCCCCAATCAATTCCCTGTAATACACTTAGTTCTTGTGGCACTTGGAACCATCTTAATAATTTTGCTCCTGGTTTTGATCTGTAAAAGGTAAAATGTAATAGCCTGTCATTTCCACACACAGAGAAACAACAAGGACGTTTAGTTGCCTCGTTGCCTTTCTTCTGACACTTGACAACTTTGTGTTTTCTTTGCTAAGATTTTACACCCAGTGAGATGAAGGTCTTATTCAAAGTTGAATGCAAAACAGGGGCAGAACAGGGCAACCATAAAGATCATGAAACAATGCCCATATGAAGAAGGGTTACAATGGGTTACTTGTTTAGAGAAAAGATGAGTAAGGGATGGGTGGGAAGGACACGACAGCACTATATACCATTATGTATGTTGTGCAAATGGTGGATGGAGGGGCTTTCCTTCCTCTCTCATCATGTTAGACCCTGGAGCCATCCCATGAAACTGAGGAATTACTTCAGGGAGAAGATAGTCAAGCTGTGGAATTGCTACTGCAAGAGGTGGAGATGTACACCAATTTAGATGGCTTTGAAGGTGGATTAGATGCATTCATGCAGGGTAAATCTGTCCATGGATACTGCTGTGATGGCCATATAGTTGTGCTACTTATCCCCAGGGAACCACACTGTGAAAGGGCTATTTCTCATGTCTTGGCTGTGTGAATCCCATATAAAAAACATGTATCCAGTTGGCCAACTGAACTAGATAGCCCTCCAGCTCTTGAGTAGGTGTTCTCAAAACCAGTATTCTGTTCGGGTGTAGAAAGATTACTAATCTTAACAGTCTTTTGTCATGGAATGAAAGACAAAATAACACCAGGTTGCTAAGGGCATCCAACTTACTGCTTGAATCTGAAGTCATGGTTTGAAGTGCAGAAAAAAAATTGGAAACCTTCTCTTTGAGGTAAATTCCAACCCAAGAGAAATGCTGTATAATTCCAGTCTTCAGATGATGTTTCTTTGAAGTAATAAGAAGATTGAGCCAAATAGTTTAGCCAGGTGTTTTGTCTCCAATGTGTACTTTTAATACCTACTTACAAAATTAAAGCAATTAAATAATATATTTCATCTTGCTGTCTGACAAAGAGGAGTTGCCACTTTATTTATTACATTTATATACTTCCCAATGGGTGAAATGCTACTGACCGCCCTTTCACAGGATGAATGAGGACTTCTGTATCCCCAAACTGATATAGCCACTGTTCTGACCCTCTCATCCTATTATTCTGAATGAAACAAGAAAACAAAACATAGGAATGAAAGACAGATCACTATACAAAGCATGCTGCATTTGTGCACAGGTTTTTAAAATTGAAAATGGCAGTACATAGTTCTGCCTGTGCCCATGTTTACATGTATTTAAATGGTCTGCACCTTCTGTATGCTGCTGGGTGTGTGCAGCCTTTCCATGCACACAGCTTCTCATGTGCAAAAGGAAGGATAATGGAGATGTGGAGGATTTGAAATGATAGCTTTCAACTCTTCTCCCTGCAGATCTCATCTATGGCAAAACCTAACAGAGCCAGTTCCACAACCAAAAAACATTACTTGGCAGTTGGAGAAGAATATGGAGGTGAGTTCTAAAATGTATTGATACAATACTTCATAAAAAGGTAAATGTGTCTCTTTCTATTCAGAAATTTAAGTATGTCTTTTCTGCTAAGTAGCATCCCCCATTAAGTAATACTTTTAGATTTCCTCTCTCCTTTCTCTGACTGCTCAGAAAAACCCTGTGAAGTAGGGTTGGCTCAAAGCTAAAGATGGGCCAAGTTCATCTTTTGACCTCCATAGATCATCCTGGACTTAGTCTGACATTCCAGTCCTGTGTTTCCCACCCTGGTGCCTTCCAGATGTTTTGGACTACAATTCTCAGCATTCCTAATGACTGAGCATGTTTGCTGAATCCAGTGGGAACTAGGACAGGTTGAGGATGGTTGCCTTAGGCAATACACCACACATCTCTTCCCTCTCCCTGTCCTCTTCTCAGATGCCCTTCTTTCCTACAAAAAGACTTTCCTACAAAGGTTGAAATATTCCTTATATAATTTGCTGAAAATAATCAATTTGACCAGCAATATCCCACTGCTAAGAACAGGTGCTTCAAGTCATTTCTTCTAAAATAGATAGCACTTTTAAACAAACAGTTCTGCTTAATTGAGAAAACTTGACATTTATTAATATTGAATACAAACAGTGCTTCACTGAAAGTGGAAATGCCTGAAAATTCACTATATAGTACAAAAAGAAAGTGTTGGACTTCACAGTTTCATTGTTTATATGTTGGGGAACATAAGAAGAAAGTTTCAGGATGAACAATAACTTTTTGTTTTGTACTTGTCATGTCTATGGGGTTTTGCAGAATAAAATAATGTAGAACTGGGACAGCTGTGAGTCTTGGGAATTAACCCAACAAGATTTATCTTCTCCCTTTTCTAGAAAGTGTGGGTGGACCAGATGCTACCAGCAGATGAAAATATAACAGTGGTTGAAGAAATGTCTACTAGCTGAAAAACTGTGTGAGACATTTGCCTTAATCACCAGCTTATTAAAGTAGAAAAATACTGTTGTTTTTGCCTGACTCCATACAGATGACTTTATTTTACAGGAGTATAGCACTGTTTCTTTTAAATGTGCTGTTCTTACATGATATATTATCAACTGCTGTTAATGTATGCCAGTTCCTTTCATGTATGAGTAGGTCTCAGGGTGATGGTCCTCAGCTCCCATTCCTTTGACGGATGCTGCTTCTCCTAGCCTATACCTGCCTCTCCTATTGGAGAAACAGGAAATGAGTGAGAAGGAAGGATCAAGGAAAGTAAGGATCAAGAAAAATGACATTATAAGCCAATTTGGACCTGGCTTATTCCTAAAGCAGAGACCCACAACATGAAGTATGCCCAATGAAAAGGAGTGCGCACATACTTTTTGATTTCCAGGGCAGTTCTAGGTACAGATATAGTTCATTTTTACAAGAATATAACCAATTCACCCCTCCCAAAATTAAATACAGTACTGAACACAATCTGTGGTCAAATTCTGTAGATTTCTGCACTTGCAGTATATCCGAAGGAAGAAAAAATCAGAAAACACGGATGAAAGAATGTGTACTTTTGAAAAATGCACACAGACTCATTTAAATGATGTGATAAAATGAACAGTTTGATTATCTGGAAAATCATACATATAGAAGGATGAACATAAATGGATTTTCATGAAAAAAAAACTTAAAAAGCTCTCAGTCTTGTACAGGAATGAGCTGTAATTGGCTTTGAAGTTGTATTCAGAGAACGTCAATAAATTTGTGTTTTGTTGATTTTCAAGATCCTGCTTACTGGATTAGGAACAGAAAATGCAAAGAACCTGATGCTTCAGAGACTGGAACCAGAATGAGCCGAACAAAGAGAACAGAAGGATGGCTCTTGACAGTCTTGGATTAAAACAACTGGAGGCTCTGGGCTAGGAGACCTTGGGAGGCCCAAACTTAATCGCATCTGATAACAAGAAACAAAACCTCATTTTCATCTTTATCGACTCCATGAAAGCAGAACATTGCTGAAATTGTAGCGCTGATAAAAAGATTGTCCATAAACGTATAACCTTTAATAAGTTTACAAAAGTATGGAATTAATGAAGATGTTTACCCAGAACATTCATAAGGGAATCATAGGCATGTTATAACATTACACTATATACACAGTCAGAACAGTTTCTTTTGAGCTTTTTTGGATGCAAACTTATCAATTATATCATTAAAATCAATAAGTCACAGATTTTCTATGAAGAGAAGGCTTAGATCAGACAGTGCTCTTAGGGCATTGTTGGCCATAGATCATTTTTGTCCTTTTCACCTAGGTACTCCCCTGATTTTTATTATTGCAAATGAAATAAAATTAATGGTCTTAGTTGAAAATTCAGACCCTGGGCTTTTCAGAGTCTACACAAAAAATTCTGTTATTCTAGTTATTAATTAAGGCCATCAATTTTTATTTCATTTGCAATAGTAAAAATCAGGGGAGTACCTAGGTGAAATATCATTTTCTAGACTGAAAAGGAGACTTGTTTAGACAAGGAGCTTGTTTGGGGTGTTTCCAGACAGAGAGTTCTTAAAGCCAATAAAATATTGCCTCCTGTTCTAAGCTATATGCAGAATGCAGCTAAGTTTTCCATCGCCCTTGGAGATGCTGAGCATTCAGTGTGCATATCTCAGTGTACTCAGTGGATTCACTTATTCTTTATGCACCATTAAATCAAGAGCAGCAGAACCTTTTGTCAAGGACATATGTAGGGGATACATTCAGTAGGCTTATTTATGGTGGATAATTATTTATGGTGTACCATTAAATCAAGAAGCAAGTTTTTGACTGGGTAACTCCCAAATGGACAGAGTGAACACTGTGGACACAATCTACCTTGCTGTTAGCAAAGCTTTTGACATAGTGCCACATGACATTCTGATAAGCAAATTAGCAAAAAGTGGACTCGATAGAAAAACTATTAGTTGAATTCTAAATTGGTTGCTAAATTGGACACAAAGAGTGCTCATCAATGGCACCTTCTCAAACTGGATGGAGGTAACTAGGGTCACACAAATTCATTTTCCCCAAGATATCACCCATTTTGACGGGAAGGGGAAACACTGGAAGTAGTGGTTACAACACACTTATCTTCCAATATCAACAGGTTGCCCATCCATATTTTGCTGGCTAAACCTTTCATTAACAAGGTAGCAATCACCAGCACCCACTAACATCACAGGCAGGCCTGCAAAGCCCTGCATCTCCCATTTCCTTATCATTTGAGCATCCTACAAGTATCTAGTCAAGGTTGCTTGTCTTACAAACTCTGCTCAGAAACCAAAATGCCTGTTCTGCCAGCCTAGACATTCGCTTGATAAACTCACAGAATAAGGTAAATCTAGGCGAATACCGAATTCTCTGCCACTAGTTAAAGAACAAGAAACAGAGAGCAGAAATAAATTGTAACTTTTTCCTAATGGAGGGATTCAGACAGTGTGGGCTCAGAGGATATTGGGGCCATTGCTTTTCCACGCGTTCCTAAATGATCTGGAATTAGCAGTGAGCAGTCAGGTTGCCAAGTTTACTAATTGCCCCATATTACTCTGTGTGGTAAAACAAAAAACGGGATTGTAAAGGGCTTCAAATGGATCTCTCTGTAATTATCTGCAAGAATATAATTGGTGTCCACAAATAGATAGCCTGGTCTGAACTGAAGCAGGGGCAGTGCCCACAGTGGGCAAGGATTTGGGTCCATCACACAGAGCTCTGTTCTAGCACAGAGGTTAAGTGTTCATACTTCTGGGCAAATGCCAGAACAAGACTGCCCACAGCATGTTGCCTCTTTCTTCTCCTCCTCTTATTCCCTGCTCTTTCCTTGGCAATGGCAGTTATGAAAGGCCATTTTGCTGTATATGACACTCTGTGTGTGTGTGTGTGTGTGTGTGTGTGTGCGCGCGCGCGCGCACGCACATGTGTGCACATGTGATTCTATGAATGAGACTGTGTATGTGTGTGTGTATGGTACTGTGTGAATTTAAAAAAGGAAGAAGGCATTGAAGGTGGGCTTTTCCTGCCTCATAAATCCCATTAAAAATCTGTGTGAGGAAAGAGAAGAGAACAAAAGAGTGGAAAATACATGAGGGGTGTCAAACAACAGTGGTGAGGGACTGTTTTCTATGTGGCACATTGTGAAAATGTGTGAAAAAGGAAGAGGGCATTGGTGTGAGTGGTGTTTTCCCACCAAATGGTACAGGGGGAAGATGAGCAAAGAGGAGGAGGCTCACACACACTCTCTCTCTCTCTCTCTCTCTCTCTCTCTCTCTCTCTCTCTCTCTCTCTTTCCCTTTACAATCCCCCAGATGCTTTTGATCACACATATATGGAGAAAGGGAGTTCTTTATGGCCAGAACTTTATTACCAGTTTTTAAAGTTATTTTTAAACTTCTGTTCTGCACATCTGCAACATGCTCATTCAGTTAAAAAAAGTAAAGAAAATGACCTTTTTGCAAGCAACTGTAGGGGTATTCTGAGGCGTCTGGTGTGTGCATGTGCCTCTGGGTCAGCAAATGCATTTTGCAAAACTGACTTTGCAAACTGAAGAATTAAGGAATGCATTATCGCTACTGATAGCACAGCTGTAGCAATGACTGGTCTTTCGGTTGGTTGGGCTTACTGTGTGATAGAAGGACAAGACACCAGGGGGCACTATGGATCTACCTAAAAACAAGATTGCTAGGTAGCTCAGTTTGTAGCTTCAGGCATTTTGCGCATGTACTCTCGGTCTAATTCCATTCTTTCATTTAAGGATTTATTCCTGTCTATAAAGGGAGAAAACATTATGGTAACCATTCTAGGTTTTGTTCACTTGAGTTGCATCACTGGGTTGTGCTCCATGTTATCTATAGCCTAGGCACAGGAAAATGGGAAGTACATACACATTTAAGATGACAGGGAAGGGTTTTTTAAATATTTATTTTTAATGTGTAATATAACAAGCACGCAAAGGCAAGTTCACAAGGTTAACAAAAACTCAGTATCCATAGGTTTACTGAGTGTGTGTGTGTGTGTAGCAGTTCATATATCTGAAAGGGTATCCAAATACCTATAGCAGGTAGGTTCAAATGCAGAAAGACGAGTGAGCTCCTCCACGATGGTGGGGTTTTTCTAAGTGAGTTTGTAGTATAAGATTCCCTCCAACTATATGGGATCTCAGGATCTGTTGTTCCTGTACATGCCACGGGAATATAATTGCAATGCACATGGGCAGCTGCAAACATTTTTCCTAAGGAAAAAAATAATGCAAACAGTCATCACCAAATAGAACCAAGGATTATTCCAGGAAGCTGATTGGTGGGAGCATCAAGACAAATAAAAGGCATTATTTCACATGACACATAATTAAATTATGGGATTCACTTCCACAAGATGGAGTGATAAGCACACTAACTACAAAAAATGCTCATCACAGAGTATGCCTCAGTATGTCATATTACATATTACAGTACTTACCAGAGCTAGCCAATATCTTCTTAACAAGATAGACAAACAGGAGTTTTTGCTTGATCAACCTCAATATCAAGAATTAAGTTTCCAAATCTTTATTCCACTCAAGCCTAACATTCTTAAACAAATAATTTGCTACATTCCAATATACATTTATAACAAGAAATACATTAATCCAATCCATTGCCCCCAGCAGGATAGGTGGTGCCAAATCAAATACGTGGTGCTGTGTCCATGGATAGATATGACCAGATGTTGCATTGGAGAGATCACAACTCAGCTCCATTTGGCAAATAGTAGCTAGACCACAATACAGGGATGGCATAATACAGGCAAAAGATATTCAGCATCTAGTCCATCTCTTGCATTTGAATGGGAGCTGAAGAGGTTTGGAGCTGATGGGAAGGGGATAGTTTGGTATAGCATAAAACAAAACAAAAATATTTCACTAAATGTAAAAAAGAAAGAAAAGAGATGTAAGTTCAACACTTCCTTTAACATCAATGGATAGCCATGACCCACTATTTTCCTGCATCACCTATGCAGCCAGTAGAAAACAAAACATTGCCTGAACTGGCATTCCTACAGCAGTGTCGAAACCAAAGCCAGAAAGCTCATTACTCTTTTTTTTTTAATAAGTTTTATTCAAAATAACCTTAATACAAAGAAAAACTAAAAACAACATCAATCACCAGAAACATCGGACTGCTGGGTCAGCCCCCACAGTTTTTCTATTTATGATAACTTAAAAACATATTTGAATCTATACAAAGTCCCATTTCTCTAGCCAATAATAAAAAAAGTCCCAAGTTTGATAGAAATCAGTATCTTCTTTCTCCTTCAATGACAAAGTCAATCTGTCCATTTCTGCACAGTCCAAGATCTTTCTTAGGATCAGTTCATTGGTGGAAGGTTCTTCACTTTTCCAGTGTTGGGCAAATGCAATCCTTGCCACAGTAATTACATGTAAAATCAAGTACATTTCTTGTTTACTAATATCAACAGGTATAATGCCTAATAAGAAAACTTCAGGTTTAAAAGCTAAGAATTTTTGTAACATATCCTCAAGCCATTTATGTATTTTAATCCAATACTTTTTCGCTTTATCGCAAGTCTACCACATATGATAGAAGGTACCCAATTTATGTTTACATTTCCAACATCCATTTGACATATTTGGAAACATCTTGGCTAGTCTATTTGGTGACAAATACCATCTATAAAACATTTTATACAAGTTTTCTTTATATGAAGTTGCTAATGTTACTTTAATATTTCTCTCACACAGCTTTTGCCATTTTTCTAATTCAATATTATATTCAAAGTTTTGTGCCCACATTATCATAGTTTCCTTAACCTGTTCATCTTCCATTCTCCTATCTAGTAAGAAATTATATAGTCTTTTAATCATTTTCTCATCTGATTTAAGCATCACCTGATCAAATGCTGTTAAATCTTATTACTCTGATGACAGGGTATGTGGTGCTACTCTGAGTAATTTTCACCCTGTTCTGGATGGGGTTGCACTCCCTGTAAGGGACATGGTGTGTAGTTTGGGAATGCTCCTCAACCCAATGTTATCCTTGGGGTTCCAGGTGACTGCTGTCATGAGGAGCACTTTCCTCCAGCTTCATCTGCTCCATCAACTACATCCTTAATCAGATGAGCAGGGCCTAGCAAC